TAGCTATGTTTAACTCTGTTCAACTCAGGGTGATATGGGGTCTTTCACATGTACTTTCTGTTCTCTATTCCAAAATTTCCTTGGGGCTTGGGGTGTCAGTATCTGGGCAGCAATATGTGACAAAGCAGACGCACTGGCGGTCACTGCTGCCGAAGTTCAGGAGGACGCCCCTTGCTTCATCAGGATTTTGGTAGGTAATTTGTCTAGTCTGTTTTGTTTTTTGTGTCTGCTGGAGTGAAAGTGTTAGACCTTTGCCAGACACATTTCCAACATGGCAGCCCACAGCGACCTTGCACGCCCAGTTTCAGAAAGGCTGGGGCGTCGGCTGCTAGGTCTGCCATGTACTAGTTGTGCAAATAGCACACCCACGTGGCTCCAGGGCACGTGATTGAGTGGACACACTTGAGAGTCACAGCTGTGGGGGTCAAGAGGGAAAGGCCCTGGCCCTGGGGTGGGTGAGGAATCCCACCTGTCAGTTTTGCTGGATGTGGAATCCCACCATCGGTTTTAGATTGAGTAAGAACAGTTCTGTCTGTTTAAAAGTATGCTGGGGGTGATAAATGAAAAGGAGCCCCCACCAATTCCGGTCATGGACTCAATAGCTGTCCAGCAGGAGAAGAGGGCAATTCAAATCTTGCCCCTCTTGGCTGTTGCAGGAATCACTGCAGCTGTCAGGACTGGGACAGCAGGACTCGCCACTTCGCTAACTTTGTATTATCAGCTTTCTTCCCAGTTTACCCAGGACCATCAGCAAGTGGCTCAAGACCCTCCAAGGGTCCTAACCCTCCAAGGACAGATCAACTCACTTGCAGTAGTAGTACTTCAAAACCAACATGGATTGGATCTCCTCCCAGCTAAAGAAGGTGGCCTTTGCATCTTCCTCCAGGAGGAATGCTGTTTTTATGTCAACCAATCCGGTATAGTAAAAGACAAAAAGCCAACAACTACAGACAGATCTACAAAAGCAAAGGGAACAGCTTGAGGCCTCTAGCTCTTGGGCCTTTGAGAACCCCCTATGGAAATGGATTCTGTCTTTCCTCACACCTCTTCTGCTCATCTTTCTGCTTTTGCTTTTTGCATCCTGCTTAATTATCTTCCTCTCTACATTCCTTCAACAACAAATTCTCTAACCAAACCATTAATCAGTGACTCTTACAGGATTAGCAACCTCTGCCCACATAACCAGATGACAATGACCATCCAGTTGACACGGATCATGGGGACCAGTTACACCCTGAGAACGACTACACCCCTAATCAGCAGGAAGTAGCTTGAAGAGCAAAGGTCGCCCCTATGTCCTCCCCACCATCATCCTTTCCTAGCTCCTCACTTTTTAATAAAACAAAAAGAGAGGAATGTTGGGATCTGTAAGCAGGCATCTTTACAACCATACCCAAGAGACATGACAAACTGAATATCAGTCATCTCTGAAGCCACCTACGGACCACCTGGAACCACCTGTACATGCTCTGGGTCACCTTATAAGAGAACTTGAAGCTCCTCCTCTCTCTCTCTCTTTTCTCCTGTCCTACCCAAGAGTCTCTGTGACCCTTTACTCCTCCTTTTCCCTTTCTCTTTCTCTTCCCCCTGCCCTTAATAAACCTCCCACTCCCATGTGGAACCAGTCACATGGCGTGATTTGTGGACCGGCTGTGTAACTCTGTTTTTTTAAGGTTAAGCCTAGGATGAGTAACTATGAAGTTTGCCTATATAGATCTACTTGAAATATAGTTCTAAAACATGCATCTAAGGAGTATGCCAGAATTAGAGATTAGAGCATCCTGTTTTATAGGATGAAGTTTAGAGCAGATGATAAAGCTAGACAAAGAGTAATTCAGATATGCTGGCCCTCAAGCTTGTCAGAGATCTGACAAATATGGCATTTTAACATGTGTAAGCTTATTGTGACAGAGAGTCCCAAAATCCTGGCAGTAGCTCCCCAAGGTCTCCAAAGAAGATGTGGACACAATGACAGATGACTGAAACTCTGAACTGTGGTGTACTAACCATTGGGCAAGGCTGCCCCAACTGGCCCACTGCTAGGGACCAGCCTAAACTGTGGACAAAGCTGTGGACACCTGGAGAGTGTTTGTTTCACATTGCAGGAGATAAGGTGAAGTCAATCTCTTGTGTTCCTTATTTCCACAGAAGTAGTCTTTCACCTTCTGTACGTGGCTGGACCACCTCTGTTTATGATGCCATGAGACTACGGGAACCAGGGACACTGCCTAGGTGGTGGACTAACTAGTCATCTCTGTTATTTATGATTGGTACATCGATTGGCACATTTATTTAGCTTATAATTTATCCTTCTCAGGTCCCTGATCACATTGATGGCTAGGCTAAGTTATGATAGCTTTGCAGCTAAATAGTAGACAATTGATCCACTGTTATCTCACTGGTCAGTTCCTTAGCTAGTTAGAACCACTAGGTACTACATCTCTTATTTAGAAAGGCAAACAGGTTTGCCTTCCCCACAGGTTTCATGTTAGTTGCCTGCGTCTTTTGGTGAATAACTGGATAGAATGTAGGGTCTGAGGATATAGGAGTTTAGGTTGTGAAAATCTAGAGAATGTTGTTTGATGGTCTGGGAAAATGTTTCCAAGTTAGTAATTGCAAGAAAGATCGGAGAGTCTAAGTAGGTGTTTTGAGGTATATGAATATGAGTTGTAATGATATAGAAAAATGATTTAAGGCATATTAAAAATGGGAGATATTTTATATTTCTCCCCCCCCGCTACTGTTGATTTCAGAAGTTCAGAGTTTTGACATTGATCAATAGAGTTCTGATAAGTTGATGGAGCACTGACTGCTTATTATTCAGTCACAAGCTTGAGATTTAATTTCCTTTGGTTGTCTTCTGAAGATAAACTTAAAGGTCCTTCTCATCATGCTAAAAACATCTGTTTAATGTGTGTATCTGACCCAAAAGCCATATATTTTACAATGGTATTCTTAATATCTGCCATTTCTGAGGTAGACTTTTACACAAGAATATCTTAAACATATTCCTTCTAGTTGTTTTGTTAAGGAAAGTCCAAGCATCCAGGGTTTAGCACTAAAGCCAGTAATGTATTTCTGCTTAACTATCCAGTGTGACATAGAAATGGGGGCTAAAAGTAGATGCTGAGTGTACAAAAAGTGGCCAAGCTCCATTTGTGGCTGATTACCAACAGCTGTGCCAACAGAAAAAGTATTAGAGTTTCAGACCATGGACACCCCTAAATTGTTTAAAAAGGTTACAAAACAAACAGCTGAGAAGAACTGATGCTCATTCCAATGGATACAGTTTTACCTGTTACTCACAGAATGTTGTTTATATTAGGTTGGCTGATATGTTACTTTTCTGAGTTTTATTTTTAATATAATTCCTTTTATAAACAAAAAAATTCATGTGAGCTTCAGGAAACCAAAAAATCATGAGATTTGGCATAGCTCAAATGGACCCCAGATGAGTCTTTCCCCTGGTCTTGGTCTTTTCCCATTTAATAGACAAAATTTAACTTCTGTCTCTAGTCTGAATTTGTCTCAGCAGATTTTGACCTGATTGACTCTATTACAGGATCAGCTACGGACTGGATCTGGACTTGCTGGAAGCTGACATGATTGCTCTCTGCCTCTTCAGGTGGATCAACTAACCAGACGCTTCTGAGGACTTCCCCATTGCCCTGCCTTTGACTGGCGTTTCAGCCTTCCTAGCCCCTGATGCTAACGGTCTTATTGTGAGAACTGAAGCAGTTTCAGAAGATGAGGCCCCTGGCCCAAAATCCCACCTAGCAGGCTGAAATGCTAAGTCAAAAGGGGCTCCCTGACATTAGCTATTATCTTGGGGATTGGCTTAACTGGAATAAGAACTAGTATCACAGCAACTGGACTAAAAGCCTGGAGAGAAAAGATTCCAGAGGATGGTTTAAATCCTGGTGTAATAGTTCTCCTTGGCTTACTACCCCTATATCCACCCTGAAGGGACCCATACTCGTTTTGATTTTTACCTTTGGGCCTTGCATTTTAAATTGCTTGATGGCTCTCATGAAGAAATGTTTGGGAGCAATACAATAATGGTACTCAGCTTCCATTGTGGAACAAGGGGTCATATCTGGAAGACTCAAGATTGGGTCTTCAAATGATCATGGGAAGGGGAGAGTGAGAGACCAAAGACTTAAAAATCAGTGGATATTGTTTTAAAGTTTAAAGCCTGAAGGAAGGCTAGTAGGTGAAGACATGTCCAGTAATGCCCTGAGGGGAAAAACTAGCCTTACTGCATTCTTTCCCTGCCCTCTAATTATACAGTTTCTGGAAAACTGCCCTATTTGACCAGGCCAGAACTGTTTGTAATCTTGGTGCCTAAAGTGGACCAATCATTTCAAAAGTCAGTTTCACTTATCCAATCATGTAATGCCAAAGCTGTAAGTCACTGCTTGTGGTTTTTTCCCTTAAAAACGCTATACCCTAGACCTCAGGGCCACATTCCTCTCCTGTTTCCACAGGAAGTTTGCATCCCATGTTTGAACATATATACAATTTGAAAATTCTCGTGTATTTACAGCAGAGTCTATTTATTCCTGATCTTTTGGCATTCGTGAACTAGGCATATCACTGTCAAATATACTGAGCCAGAAGGCTGAAGATGATGCTCCAATGTTATAAAGAGTTCTGGGTGATTGTTCAGGCAGCAAAATGACTTAATCTTTTTTTTTTTTTTTTTTTTTTTTTTTGGAAGCTGCTAACATACACTTCCTATTTACTCCAGTAACTAATTTTATTTCTTCTCAAGTCTTTGGTGGGGTTGAAGACCAAATAGTTACAGTGCCACAATGAAGCTTAAGTTGCTTACAATTTAAGAAAATGTTTTCATATAGTTAATACCAATAAGGATAAAAGTTAAGTCAGGTAGAGAACTCTAAGAGTGTCAAGATAGGATAATCAAATACTTTCTCCTAAGTTGCCCAATGCACATGGACCGGACATCGCACATGTAAATCTTCCCTAATAGTTTTCATAACTGTTTTATATTTATTATTATATTGAAAGAAAAGGAGTCTTTCATTGGACTTAAAGGGGGAAATGTTGGTATTATGTTCTTGCAGAATGTATACAGTTTACCCTTGTTCATTCAAATGCTGGTTTCTCTACCCACTATCTGGTTTCAATCCGGACATTGCATTGGGATGTTTATTCTAAGCATCACCTGCCTCAAGTTTTTGTCACCATTTGTTCTCTGTGTTACCAATAAAACAACCAGGCAGTACTGAGCAATGGAGAGAATAGGGCAGGACATCCTGGTACGGAGGAGGAAAAGGAAGGGTGTGGGAGGAGGGTTAACACAGGAGAGATCTGAGAGAAGAGGACCTGGAAACACCAGGGAAGATGAGCCAGATCTAAGATATGACTAAAAAGCAAGTATAATGTGGAAAATCTGAATGGGAGGAAGCTATGCGGGATTGGAGGTTTAGGATGGAGAAATTATTGCCCAGCATTGTGCTCTATGTTAATTAAATAAATACTAGTCTCTCTGTGGTGATTTGGGTATACAGCTGGTTTAGGAAAACTGCTGATTAACTAAAAGATAAATCAATAATAAATATTAATAATCAACAACAAAGTCCGCTATCCAATGAATAGCCTGAAGAAAACTCAATAATATTTAACCATCATCCCTACAATGGCTAATAGCTGAATACTTGGAATTTACCCAGGTGTCCTTTACATTAGGTTTGGCCCTCTGAACAAACAACCAGTCACAGAACTGGCTAGCTTGAATTTTATGAACCTAACTGTAACCCTAAATAAAAAATCCTCTCTCCCTGAGCTTGGGGCTCTGCAGTCAAGAACCACTGCATTGGTGACACTGTGGGCCTGAGCTCAAGCTTGTAATAAAAGACCCTACTGAGTTTGCATGATAATCGGCTCCTTGGTGGCTTTGGGGTCCTCAAGACTTGGGCATAACACAAAAAACAGTCAGCCCTGGCTCCAGCCAGCCATGCAGAAGACTGGGGAGCTGGGGACACCCAAGTCCTCTGAGAAGAACCCATTCCTTTTTTTCACCCCATTCCCAGCTATGGTGCAGCAAGCTCTACCATAAACATAGGCCAACTGGGCACCATGGTGCATGCTTGTAATCCCAGCACTCTGGCAGGCAGAGACAGGTGGATCTCTGAGTTTGAGGCGAGCCTATTCTACAAAGTGAGTCCAGGACAGCCAAGGCTACACAAAGAAAC